AATTATTATATTGAAAGCGTGTCTTTATTTTTGTCGCATATGCACGAAAATCGAGATTTCTTAGGGTTTCTAGAATTCAAAGGCACATGCAAAAAATTAGGGCAATTTACCACTTAGGTTCTGTGTCAAAAGGTCGACAAGTTGTCCTTTGGTGTTGTCCAGATTAGTTTTGTACATCGAGCTCACTCACGCACTGGGGGTTGTTTTTGAAAAAGAGGTACATTATATGCTTACACAAAAAATACATTATTGTAGACTTTGCCTAACCTGAATTCTATAAAGAGGGTTTTAAAATGCAGGGTTCATCTATCAGCGTGTCCCGAGCCTGAATAGTGCACATGTAAATGGGGATAGTTTTTGGTGAGTGGGCAGAAAGAAAGACAGAATTGGAGAGAGAGAGAGAGAGAGAGAGAGAGAGAGAGAGAGAGAGAGAGAGAGGTGGAAGGTGGGGAGGGGCAGAGAGACAGAGAGAACGATAATGTTTTTCTATAATTTATAGAGAACGAATTTTGCGTTTTTATTGAATGTTTCTGACTATTGAAGTTTCAATTTTATTATGACAGTTTGAGAGTTTTTTAAATTGCATTCTTTATTTTTAGCGAGCGCATTGCCAGGCTCATTGCGTGGATATTTTTTCTTATAGAAATTTTTATACTCATACATAATATATGCATACTATTATGTTTTACGCCCATACATGTCCATACATTTTTAAGGTGTGATATATTTATTGATGTAATGCGCATTGAGCATTTTTTTAGAAAATGGAAATGCGAAGTATAAATGCTATTTATCATTATTTATTATTATTACATGAATTCAAAAGTGACTTTCAAAATCCGGATTAACAATGCCATACCAAAATTGATATCCACCCATACTTTTTTTCCTGTTTTATTACAGGTTCATAGGTGGGTGCACCATTTGCTTAGAAACATTAATCTCCTATCAAAGTGTCATCGATGGTAAAGGTGGAAGCGAGGCAGATGTTAAAGCAAGAACCACCAAGGCAAGGTCAGCATTCAATTAATTATAAAAAGTCTGGAAAGCAAGCAACATCTCACTGCGCACCAAGATTCGACTCTTTAACTCCAACGTCAAGTCTGTGACCTTCTACGGCTGTGAAACTTGGAAAACAACAAAGACAGAGCTGAATAAAGTCCATACTTTTATCAACAGATGTATGATTAGTTTTCTAAGAATTAAGTGCCTAGATAGAATAAGAAATGAAGAGTGGTGGGAAAGGACAGGACAACGGATATAGAAGTATAAATATAGGACAAAGAAAGTGGCTTAGAAAAGCCCAGCGGAAACATCACAAGACAATCACCGCAGTGGAACCCACAGGGGACACGAGGCATGGGTAGGCCACGGGAAACATGGAGGAGATGCGTGGAAAGGGACATGAGAGAGATGAAGCTCACGAGGAACGAACTTGGAAGGATGGCCC